CTTTGTGTTAAGATTGTGTAACAGAAAGCACCACACCAAGACAGAAACTTTTAAGCTAAGTCAATACATTTCCATGGTCATCACAAGGCTGGAGGTCACCTGACCCCTCCTGAGTGTACTCCAGGTGGTTACCTGACTCACCTTTTCTTCCCAGCAGCCTCTGGGCTCCTCCTGACTCCACAGGAAGTCCTCGGCCAGGGCCACCGCTTGGGCGCAGGTCTCTGGTCCGCCCTCCCTGACCCAGCTCTGCATCTCCTGGGGCAGGATGGCCAAGAACTGCTCCAGGATGACCATCTCCAGAAGCTGCTCCTTTGTATGCTGCTCTGGCTTTAGCCACTGGCTGCAGAGGTCCCGGAGCCGACTGCAAACCTCGCGGGGTCCCTCCACTTCCCGGTAGCAGAAATGCCGGAACCGCGTCCGCTGGATCTCGGAGCTGACGCCCTCTTGGCCCAGAAGGTCCTCCGCCTTCTTGTCCCCTTCCCCACCTTTGCCCTCCAGATTCTGGTAGATCCCTTCGGTTTCTCCCCTGAGGCCCATAGCAAGGGGGGCTTCCAGCCACTGCTTGGTTCCAGATATGTCCTCCAAAGAGTGTGGTGGCAACCCACTGATTTCACCTCTGCTTTGAAGCTGTGGACACAGCTCTCCTGAACACACGGGCCACAAGGTACTCCACCATTCCTGCCCCTGGGTTCCCCATGGCTCGGTCATCTCTTCCTTGGGCTCTTGTTTCACCTGCAACAGTGTCACCCATTTGGGGAACTTGTCAGGGGTTCCAACCTGCACAAAATTGTGGCCCTTTCTTCCTTTTCGAGATTCCTCCTCCCCATTCCTAAGTTCAGGGGCTGCTGTCATCTCCATTTTAATGCCTGCAGGTAACTCGTGAGAGAAGGGGAAGTTCCGCAGCTGGAGATCCACAGTGGCCATCACACCTCCTTCTCTAGACATGGCTTCCCCTCAGATTTCCTTGGGCATCTGAACTGGGCAGCCACTAGCTTTTGTTGTCCAGAAGGGCTACGGGAGAAGATGGGTCACACGCAAGGGGAGGTTATTCTGCATTTCCAAGGCAGATTTGTCCCTGCAGGAGAGGAGACGCAAGGCAGACAGATTAAACACACCAGGAGGGTCCTCGCTCCCAACACATCATTTGGATGTCCTCTTAGACCAGGTCAAAGCCTCTTCTAGTCCAGCAAAGCAGCCAAAAAGCAAAGCAGAGAAACATTCACAAGGGACAGCAAGCAGCATGCTTCCCCCCCACCCCCGCAATATTATTTCACAGAATTTTCTCCATTATTTTCCTTGAACCTATGGGGGAAAAGGATATTCCTGAACAGGACACGAGAGGAAAAGCAATCTCCTACTGTTGTTCCCAAGCAAACTGGGTTCAGAGGTAGACTGTCTCTGGATGCGGAGGATCCATTGAGTCCACAGCCATAGCCTCCCCTGATCTCAGGCCCTTCCAATGTGTTGGGCTAAAAGTCCCATGTGGGTCTGGGAACTCTGGGAGTTGTAGTCTGGCGTGCTGGGAGGATACCAGGGTGAAGAAGGCTGACCTTGACTCAGTCCTATTCTATGAGGATTCTTCATTCGTGGCCTCCCTGAAAACAGAACCGGGTCAAATTCAGACCTCAGAGCCTCCACTGGTAGCCCAAATGAGAGCCTGCAATCTCATTGCGGTCCAAACAGGCTGTTAATATTACAAATAATGATCAGCCCTGCCTCTGCTCCCCTCACTTCTCTGCTGGGAAGGGTTTGAAAGCTCCCTCCTCTGGCCCCCTCTGGTTTGAGGGCACAACCCTTATTCCCCCCCCCCCCCGCATGAAGACTTACGCGGGCCTGGCCCAGAGACATTGACAGAGGCTATTCCCCCCACCTTGCTCGCTCACTCTTCCCTTTTGGCATGATCTGCCAGGCATTAATCGCACAGAAGGTGCAGGTCAGGAGGCGCCCCCCAAACCTCCCCAAGAAGGAGGTGGTGAGCTCTGCGCCACCTTTTGCAGAAGATGCACAAGGCCTGGGGCCGCTGTCCTCACCGTGATCCTTCCACTCCCCCCGCCCCCATTCTGCTCCCTGCCTTGGCCTTCCCCATCCCCGGCCAGCGCCATCTCTGCACCTTCTCCTCCGGACTCACCCCAGCAGCCGCCTGGTGAGCCGGGCACTTGCAACTCCCGGGGGACCCTCTGACCCAAGGACGCCTGGGAAGGGCAGAGGGGCCTCTCCCCCTCCTGCCTCCAGAAAGGGAGGGAGGAAGAAGAAAACCACCGGAAGGTCCTTTCCTGTTTTCCATCCCTCCTTCTCCCCCCTCTGGAGCCTTTCGAGGCATCTGAGCCCAAGCAGCGCTGGGACGCTGTCCAGAAAAGACAGGATGGCGGGCTGCCCCGGGAAGCAGAAGCCACGGAAAGGCTCAAACGCGCTGCAATGATGTTAGGATTCGGGCTCACGATAGTGCAGGATTCAGGGGCACCACAAAATCTAACCGAGTCAGCGCAGGAGAGGCTTTTCACGCGGAGATGCCCCAAAGCGGTCGCTTGGCCAGATGTGCCGCACAGAAAAACAGGAGGGCAGCAGGACCCGGAAGAGCATGAAATCTAGAGCCTTGAAATCTGGGGCCGGGTATTTTTAGGAAAGGATCAGATGCATCAGGATGCTGGCTGGGGAATTCTGGGAGTTGAAGTCCGCACATCTTAAAGTTGCCAAGGTTGAGAAACACGCAGTCTTTAGATATTAAGGGTAGTACATGGGCAGGGTGTGAGTGTACATTATTTTTTTATGCTGATGATAGTTGGACAATTTTGGGTCAGTACTCCACCTCTGTGCCTAATTTTATGAAGATTGTAGGGTATTTTGGAAAGTATTCTGGTAGCAAAATAAATTGGGATAAATCTTGTTCACTTCCTTTGGGCTCTAACATGCCAATCAAGTTATGTAAAGAGATATGTTTTGTGATTGCTACTGAGTATATTAAATATTTTGGGCTTTATAGATTCAAAAATATTTTGAAATATGCAGAAATAAGTATGTTGAAACTTTTAGAAAGGGCTGAATTGAAGGTTAATAGATGGCTTAACATTCCTTTAAGCTTGTGGGATAACATTAATGTTATTAAAATGAAGATTGTTCCTTGTTTATGTTCTTAGAGGTATTTTTATGTTAATACCAAATAAGTATCTCCTTTGGATTGATGGTTATTAGGAAATTTATTTGGGATAGTGGACCACCTAGGTTTTTCTTGGTGAAATTGAGATTAGGTGGCCTTAATTTATCTGATTTCGAACAATATAATTGGGCCAGTATTTTATCAGCCACCTGCATGTTGAATGAAAGCATACTTGAATATTACCCGTTATGGGTTAAGTTGGAAAGTTATTTTCTATTTTATTTGCTGCCATGGCAAGTGCTTGAAACAACATATAGCAGAAAAGGTGTTTTATTTCCAGGAGTGCGAGCTGTGAGAAATCTTTCAGCCATATTGTGACATATATCAAGATTTGATAGAGACTCATGAATGTTTAAATCATTCTATTGGAAAGTTTGGGCGGAAGCTGGGATGGTGGCTTTAAATCAACCATAAGGATTTTTCCCGACTACCAACTGAATTGGGTCTTCACAATTCACAACAGTGGAGGTATCTTCATCTTAAGCATGTTCTAATGGATCAATATCCACCAGACGTTTTGGCTGCCTCTGGAACCCATGAAAGAATCCAAACCTATGACATTATCTCTAGAATATTTTTAAAGTGGACATTTCTGGGATGCTTCAAACATAGATTTAATTAAATTCAATTAATTACACTGAATTAAATTAAATTAAATGGTGTTAACTGATCTGAGATTAAAGTGGATTCATCAGAAATTTGTATTTAGGGTGTATTGGTTTCCCCAGAAAATACATTTGAAAGGATGGTCATCTGATTTTTTTACTGGAGGTACAAAAAATGTGAGAGTTCACTGACCCATATGACACGGTCATGTGATCATTTGGTATCATTTTTGGAGACTGTATTAATGTATATAAGCAAATTTATGGGGGCATTTTTAAATGTTAAATATGTTAATGTAATGTTGAACTATGTACCAAAGCTTTGGAATTGGACAATGTATCAGGAATTATGGTGGTATTGAGTATTTGTGGGGGGGGGGGAAATAAAAGAATGATATTAAGAAATTGAAAATATGTTATTCCAGGTCTCAAGGAATGGTTGTCGGAAATGTGTGATCTATCTGTTTTGGAAAAGGTGGCATTTTCCACTAATCAAAGGATGCAGCAAGACGTGTTACTATGGCAAAAATTTTATAATATTTTACAGCAATATTTTGTACTGTTCATATTATAGTATTCATTAGTAAACTGGACTATTGATAAATATAAATGATAAAGGTTGGTTTTTTTCTTTTTTCTTTTCTAGTCTGTATTTTTAGTTTGTTTGGGATATGAAGCCGTAGTCATTGTGAAAGAGGGTTTTATAGTCCAAAGTAGATCCGCCCTGGGTGGAATTTTCCTCCTTTCCCCGAAGAAGCATCACGACCTCCCCTCTGGCCCTCCAATTCAGAGCTCAGCCCG